CTGGTTCAGATCCTGGTCCTCCCCTACACACGCTAGCCATGCACACACAGGTGCCCGTGATCCGGGCTGGCCGAGGCTGGGAGTGGGTCATGGTATGAGGACACTGTTAAAGTCCCCCCGATCACCTGTCTCTCTCTCACGGAAGAAATAAACGTTCCTACTTGCTGGGGATGAGTCAGAGACAGACAGACGGAGGGACACGCAGGTCTATGTCCTCAGGCCGGGCATTCGAGAGCCAACCTGGACTCACACCTGAGTGTCACCTGCTCTGGGCTCTGCTCACCTGTCACCCCAGCTGGACGGACTCCTTTTCTGGGGTGTTCCCAAAGTGCCCCAAACACTGTGCGGCCACGACCTTGTCAGAGAGGTCGAATGGCCGGGACTTCAGAAGATGGCCTTCGGTCTTGGCTCTGTCCCTAATAATGTCACTAGGACCACAGGCTCGACGGCCGGCATCTGGCCTCTATGATTCGGTTTCTGCAAGTGGGGCTGACTTATTTAGCCTCGCTGAGCCTTAGCGGGCTTTAGCAGTGTTTAAACCGGGTTAACACTAGGTTGTTAGGAAGTCATGACGTTTTTCTATGCATCAATGTGTCATGACTTCCTTGACGACCCAAGACATATACAAATACTTAGATTAGAACCTGGCGGGTGGTTAACACCTAAGGTTAACCATATCACTGTCATTGTTATTGCTATGATTATTATGATGATTTTCTACAGGGCTTGTGTGCTCGCCAGGAAGAGACAGAGTGGGAGAAAAAGTGAGACTCCACCCCTGGAGGTGACAGCCACCCCATAATTCCTTCTCTTCTATTCTCTTAGGACTGTTTTCTTTTTAGAGATTTTTGCTATAGGGTGTGTGCACTTGCAGGAGAGACGGAGAGACAGGAGGTGAGAAATCGCCCCTGGAAGGGATGACCATACCTCAGTCCCTTCCCTCCATTCTCCTATTGGGATTTTGGGCACACACGTACACATACCTGGTGTGAGTTTTAAGCCTCCGGGCCTGGGACTCGAACCGCAGTCGACTACATGGGCGTCCAGCGCTATAACCATTACGCCATCTACTGGTCCTAATTTTTTCAGGATTTTGGGCATGTAGGCACACATGCCCGGTGTGATTTCCAAGCTGCCGGGTCCGGGACCCGAACCACGCAGTTGGTCATGTGGGATCTAGCCACCTTAGCCTCCATGCCACCTGCCAGCCCGCTGCTGTTATTATTTGGAAAGAGCACAACTGAAGGATTCACAGGGGCTCAGGCCCCTTGGCGTCTTGTTGGGTCTGTCTCCCGGAGAATGGGACATGGAGGGGTGACCAGAGAGGACAGGATCCTGCATGACACTGGTGGTTCAGACTCAGAGGGTCCCTCTCCACGGAAACACGGGCTATGTACGGCCCATGCTCTGAGCATTGACCACGGGAGGCCCTGCACTCCCTTTTCCTCCCTCCAGCCGAACCCCACACCCGACGCACCCCAGGCGCACGGCTCACCTCCTCCGCACTGCACGCTGCACCCTTCCCAGCCGCTGTGGGTCCAGATGAACAGGGAGTCCTGCGGCTTTTCGGGCTCGCTCTGGTTTTCCGCGGTGTGGTTGACGGGGATGGTGTACTCGTAGTGGATACCGTAATTCTGGTCGTGAAACAACAGCACCTGGCTCGGCAGCAAAGGAGAAGGCCATTTGGAACTGGGACGAAAGCTCACAGGGTTGAAACCTACGAGGCGACACAGCGGCTGCTTCTCCTCTAGGGGGGACGCGATCTAGTCTGGGGTTCAAAATGGGTTTGATCGGGTCCAGGGGATGGTGTGGTGGTGAAGGCGCTGGATTTCCACATGCCAGACCTGCAAGCTTGAAAATCACCCTGGGGGACCAGCAGATGGTGTAGTGGTTACGTCGCTGGACTTCCACATAGTTGACGGTGGTTTGAGTCCCGGACCTGGTAGCTCAAACTCATATTAGGCATGTATGCATACATGCCCAAAACCCCAAGAGGAGAATGGAGGAGAAGGGATTGTGGTGTGGCCATCCCCTTGGGAAGGTGTTTTCTCATCTTCTGTCTCTGTTTCTCTAGCAAGTACACATGCCCTATAGTAAAAATCTCTCTCTAGGGGGAACCAGCAGTTAGCGTAATGGCTATGTCACTGGACTCCCACGTAGTCGAC